GTGCATTGGTATGCCACCCTTTGTGCTGTTGTATGGGAGGAAGTGTTGGATCCTCATTTACTGGGGAAAGTGTTGATTCGCGGAAGTGAAAGTTGTAGTGAGAATGGATGATTTGGAGTATGGTGGTCGAACACTGTGTCTGTGACAGTGGTATGGAATGACATCATGATGGGATGTCTGCTGAGGACGCGGAAGGATTCCGCGGGTGTAGAGCCAAGAGTCTCAGGATGGATGTAGGGATGGAGTCTGGGACTCCCAACTTGATTCTGATCGAGGGCTGTGTGCGTAGTGGTGGTTTCTCCTGGGATGTTAGAGACGTCATCATTGTGACGGGTTTTCCTAACCCGAGAGTGCGAAGGTTGGTGCGGCATGGGTGTGTGATTGCAAGAAGAGGACTCATGGGAGTTGCTCTGGGATTTAAGAGTGGGTCTTTCCGTCGTCACGGATTGGATAGAGAGGGATTCGAATCGGGGATCCGATGGTTCATGTCTTCTAACCCTTATGGGTCGAGTGATTGTTGAGATTTGGGCAGTGATACTTCATGGGTAATTCTCGGATCGATGTGTGTGGTCATCAGAGGGTGCATCCGGTGCCCGGTTCGAGACAATGGTCAGGACACCGTAAGGAAAGGGAAAGTGTGTTCGAGTTTCGATGGGTATGCCTTGTGAGATCTGGTCCGATTAAGGCCAGGTGGCACGTTGTGGGAGTAATTCTGGAGTTGAGTTACTGTAGGCTTCGAGGGCGAAGCCTAATTTAAGTGGGGGAGAATTGTAACATCCCGAAATATCAAGAGTAGAGTTGAAGGGCTAAAAGAGTAAATTGGGAAAGAGCGACTCGGCGAGTCCATGTGTGGACTCGGCGAGTAGAGTCGCGACTTGGTCGCGTGTTAAGTGGCCGACTCGGCGAGTCAGTGTATTGGACTCGGCGAGTAGGCGCTGAGTGGAGAAAACCCTAATTCTCGGGGTTGAGCCTTATATAATGATCATTATGTCTTCCTCCCAGCCTCTTTATCACCCCTTGAGCCCCAGAAAACCCTAAATCGCGGAGAAGCACCATTTTTGAGTGGATTGGAGCTTGGAGAAGTAATGGTTGAAGGAATTTTGGGAAGATTGAAGGCTTGGAGCAAGGGGCTTTGCTTGGATTCGAATTGCATTGCAGTTGGGGCATCACTTAGAGGTAGTATCTCGTTTTTGACCTGTTGATTATGTTGTTTCTTCATTTTGGGGTTTGTGAGAAATTGTCTATGGATGAAATGGGAAGTCTAGAGGTTAGATCTGAGGTTGCTACCTCAGATCTGGAAGGGAGAAGAATCAGAGAGCATGAAAGTCCCTGTGTTGGAGTGTTTAGTGAAGCTTGCATGTCCCAAACCCTAGCCCCAATGTGCAAACGGCTTAGATCTCTTTGGATTCACGTAAAGTTTGCCACTTTACGTGATGGATGAGTGGTAGGAGGCTAGATCTATGTCTTGGAGCAGTTGCATGGCCTGGAAATGCTTCGGAATGTATTCAGACCGGCGGTACTCGGCGAGTCACATGGGTGGACTCGACGAGTTGGATGAAGATGGCCTGGAACTGGCGAGTTGTATGAACAACTCGGCGAGTAGGTTGAAGATAGCCGTAGACTCGGCGAGTCTGTTCTTGGACTCGACGAGTCTTGACGAAGAGTCCCAAATATTTCCTGGTTGAGTCGAGAATCGGTGAGTCAAGGGATGACTCGGTGAGTTGGGTGTGAGTGGACTCAGAGTTGTGGGACTCGGCGAGTCTCGTGGTGACTCGACGAGTTGAGTCGCGATATGGGGAAGTTCTGATTATGGGAACTCGACGAGTCACAGGGTTGACTCGGCGAGTAGAGTCAGTCAAGGGTTGACCTAGACTGAGGACTTTGATTTCGACCAAGGGTTGGCCGTTGAGTTTTAGGGTTTGGACAGCGATGTGGCCTTTGGGCCAAGAGAGAGGTAAAATAGTCTTTTACCCATAAGAGGGTGTTATGAGAGGATTTATTCTAGCCTCGAGAGTTATATTCATGAGAGTATTTGCCTTACGTGTTAGGCGTGGCGAGTTCGAGATTCAAGTGTGGGGATATCTGCTTTCTGCTTGCCAGGTGAGTCTTCTCACTATACTTTACCTTGAGTAGGTAACCAGAGTTATGTGATTAGAGTATTTGTATGCTATATGTACGTGATGTGTTGTACTGCATTATTTCTATGTGATTTATGTTGTGCATGTTTATAGAGTTGGAACCGGAAGGTTCCCAGAGTTAGAACCTGAGGGTTCACAGAGTTTGGGTGCACGGACCCACAGAGTTATAGCCTCGAGTGGCTAATATGTGTTATGTGTGGTATTTTGGGGAACTCACTAAGCTTCGTGCTTACAGTGTTTTGTTTGATGTTTTACAGGTTTCTTTCAGTATCACGGGACGGCACCGGCTTGATTGTACACACCAGAGAAAGAGTCATATTTTTGAGGATCTTGGTTTTCTATGCAAGTGAAAATGGAGTTATGTTTTGTAAATCGACTATGAATAAGATTTTAAACAAGTGTTTCTAAGAGTAAAATGATTATTTTAAATGAAAAATTTGTCTTGAAATTTACGGTGTTACAATCACTTTCCTTCAAACCATAGAAGAGCCTGATAATCGAGTGTTCACAATTTTCAGTTCAAGCAACATGATCGGTTTTTTTACTAATTCGACATCGATTTTTCATAAGAGTTTTGTGCGAAAATCATATTGCCAAAAGCATTATACCATCGACATAAGATATAGTTCGTGATTTTTTTTCGACGTTAAAATGTATATTAAATCGATTTTCTATCACAACCATATATTAGCCTCATAAATCATTATTTATTGGTTTACTTATTTAACCCTTCAAATAGGTTATTCTCGCATTATCCTCCTTAGTAAATGAAGGGTTTTTTTCTACCATATGTCAATCTCTTATGAGTTTTGACACTTGTCATTTTGTGGTATTTTTGTAATAAATATTATCTACTTGTTAATTTTTCAGTTTTTAAAATTAAAGTTATATACTTATATATGTAAAGTATTATATATATATATATATATATATATATATATATATATATATATATATATATATATGATATTAAATTGCAATAAATACGTTTCTTCTTTTTTTATTTTAAAGTTGTACATTAAAAAATATTTTTGCTTACACTTTAATGTTTAATCTTTTTTTAAATCAACCTGTATAATACACGGGTTTCACATAGTACCTAATAAACTGACTATCAACCATTCATTATTGGCTTTATTTTAAGACTAATATCAAACAATTTAATTGTTTTTCCATAAATTTTCAAAGGAAAATCTTAAAAAAAAAAAAAAAAAAAAAAAAAAAAAAAAAAAAAAAAAAAGTCTCAAATTTTTGGAAATAAATTCAAAAGAGTCCTAAATATATATTTTTTTTGAATAGAAAAAGTATTATTATTTTGAGAAAAATCATATAATCTATCATTTGTTGTTTAAATATAAAAAATATTTTTTTTGTTAATTTAAATAATCGAGACTTTTCTGTTAAAAAAAACTTTTATAACTTTATTGAATTTTTTTCCAAAAATTTGGAACTTTTCTATAGATCGCCCATTTTTCAAATAATATTCCATCGTTTTTTTTTTTTAGGATACATTACATTTTTTTTCCACATTACAATTGGTTTCTTTTTAGCCGATTAATAGATTTGTTTGGAAGCATATATCGATTTCTTTTCCAGCCAGTTTTAATCAATTATCCTCTCTTGTTAATTGATTTTTTTTTTCAATCCTTTATAAATGGATTTTCCTTTAATCTATTTTACAAGTTATTTAAAATCGTTTTTATGTGTAGTATATCTCGTTCTTCTTTTGGATCCTGGCTCAAAACTTTTCTTTTGGCAAGCAAAGATTATATAGTTTATGGCTCAAGTTATGACTCGAGGTAATAATGATGATACGTTGGACTCTTTTGGAGAAAAATGTTTGGAAGCATCCATAAGTAACGGGTAACACCACAAAGTATTTTTCACGAAATTAATACCATAAGATATTTCAAGACTTTACTACCGTAAGGTATTTTCAAGACCTTAATAACGTAAGATATTTTCAAGATTTTAAAATTGTAAGATATTTTCAAGCATTTAATGTCACAAAATACTCTCAAGATTTTAAGAACATATGGTATTTTTCAAGCATTATGATATCATGGGGTATTTTGGCCGTTAGGCGATATTTAGTTTGAAGACTTTTATGTCGTACATAATTTGGTTTGAACTTTTACTTCTTTAATATATCATCTCTAATTTAGATAGAGTCTTCTTTGAGCAAGGTACCGACTTTAGTTCGCTAGTGTATTCAAGGTATGTAATTGTTACGACATGAAGACCATTTTGGCACAAGCAGTTTGACATATTTACAAATGTTTTTGATGCGTTTATAATACTTTAAATTTTAAAGGTATTTGCATTGAGTTTGAAGGTTTGTATTCATAGACATTATGGTGATTTGATATTTCACCATTTTTTTTTATCTATGTCCTTTGAGAGAGTTTGGTCCTTAAAGTTTTTTGACACTATTTATTTTTCATCTATTAAAAGAAGAGTTTGTTGAATATGTTTCAAAAGTTTCTATTAATTGTTTTATATTATATGTAGGGGTTATTATTCAATTATAATATTTATTTATTGGGATATATACAGTAAAGCCCTGATATTTTCATCTAATTGACACGAAAGTCTAAAACTAATTTTTTTATGACACAAAAGCCCGAATTACCGGCATTTATTGACCCGATTGACATTTTTTGCCGGTAACTCATTTAATAGCCGGTAATCGAGATGATGTGGCTACTAACGCTTACTTGGAAGATGACGAGGACATCATTAAATGAAGAAGGGTTAATTGAGCTGGAAAAACCTCTCTTTCTACTGCGACAATTCTAGGGTTTTTACTGTGAAGGAGATACGAATTCGAGTCCAAGGGAGATACGAGTTGGAGCCTTGAAGATGGAAGGTGTGTTGGACTTTGACACGATCGACGTGGAACTAGATGAAGACCTTCTAAAGAAACAGAGTAGGAGATGTAGAGATGAGTTCTTGAACTCACTGTCTCTTGACGATGAAGATGAAGACTTCATTATCCCATTATTCGAGAATGTTGAAGATGATGAAGCACCCGTGGAAGAAGAACCTTTGGATGACGAACAGGAGGAGGAAGAAAATGTAGATGAAGTTGTGGATGAAGAGGAAAATGATAGTGAAGCTCAGTTTAAATATTCCACACATGATCCAAATGTGAAATGGAATAGAATGAAACCTCAAGAGGGAGAAAGGTATGAATCTCCACAGCAACTTAAACTCTGTTTAACAAATCATGCCATATCTAAAGGTTATCAGATTAGGTTTAATAAATGTGATAGTGTTAGACTACACTGTGTGTGTGCTAGTGATCATGAGAAATTGGTTGCCCTTATTATGTTAAAGCCTCTTGGATGAGCACTGAAAAGTCATTCCAAATAAAGAAAATGTATCCACATCATACATGTGTCAAGAATTTTAACAATGGAAAACTTATGGGACCAACATGGTTAGCTAGACAATTCCTTAAAGAACTTATTAGGACACCTAATTTGAAAGCTAAGGAAATCCAAGAAAAAGTTCAACACAAATTTCACACTAAGATTTCATGGGTAAGGAGTTATAGGGCTAGATGTAGGGCAATGTCCATGATTGAGGGAAAATTAGGTGATCACTATGCAAGGGTGTGGGATTATGGTGGTGAATTGCTAAGATCCAATCCAGACAGCACCATTAAAATTTGTGTCGAAGACAACAATGATGGTACAACTATTTTCAAAAGGATGTACATATGTTTCAAATCAATCAAAGAAGGGTGGAAGATGGGTTGTAGAAGGGTAGTAGGGATCGATGGATCTTTTCTGAAAGGGCAGTGTAAGGGACAATTATTAACAGCCATAGGTAGGGACCCAAACAATCACGTTTTTCCCATAGCTTGGGCTGTAGTTGAAATTGAGAATAAGTTTAACTGGAAGTGGTTCCTTCAGTTGTTAGAGGTTGACCTTGGAATGGATGCAGGAAGGGGCATGTGTGTAATTTCAGACCAACATAAGGGTCTTCTTGAGGCAACAAAGGAGGTGTTACCATATGTTGAGCATAGACAGTGTGCACGACATATCTATGCCAACTTCAGAAAAGTATATAGTGGAATTCAGTTAAGGAACCTATTCTGGAAGGCTGCCAAATCAACTGTAGAGGGTGAATTCAAGAATCACATGGATGAGATAAGACAGATTAGCCCAGGTGCTTATGAACATCTAATGGCAAGGGAGCCAAATACATGGTGCAGGGCTTTCTTTTCCACTGGATTGGCCTGTGAGGCTGTAGAAAATGGTATGGCAGAATGCTTCAATGCAGTTATACTTGATGCTAGGAAGAAGCCACTACTGACCATGCTTGAAGAGATAAGGCTATATATGATGGATAGGTTTTACAACCTCAGGGAGTTAGCTGAAAAATGGGAAGGAGATGTGTGTCCATCTGCAATTAAGAAAATGGAAGAATTTGGTGAGGACTTGAAGTAAGTTCTCCTTGTTTTGTATACATTTATGCTAAGTTATTAATAACTTTTATGCTAATTTAGTAACAACTTTTATTTGCAGGTTTTGGAGGGTACACCCTAGTGGACAAAATGAATTTGAAGTTAGAAATGGTCTTGAATCATATGGAGTCAACATAGAGAAAAGGAGTTGTGCATGTAGACTTTGGGATGTATCAGGGATACCATGTGTCCATGCCCAAGCATCTATCATGTTAACTCATCAGGATCCAAAGACATTTATCAGCAAGTGGTTTGGTAAGGCAATGTACATTTCAAGTTATAGTTATAACATTCTACCTGTTAATGGCAGCAATTTATGGACAGAAGCTCCTTATATTAAGCCCTTACCCCCCTTAGAGAGGAGGATGCCAGGCAGGCCTACTGTGAAAAGGAAAAGGCATGTATCAGAGAGGGATGACAAGTTCTCTCAAGTGTCCTCAAAGGGCAGAACTGTCCAATGTCAAAACTGTCAACAAAAGGGGCACAACAAGAAAACCTGTAAAAATCCACATGTTGAACCAGATCCTAAACCCAATAAGAAAATAGGCAGGCCAAGATTGGACCCTAGTCTAACCCAATGGACAAGACGTGGTAGAGGGGGGACAAGGGGAAATAGAGGAGGTGGTAGGGTACCTAGAGGTGGGGGTGGCTTTCATAGCTGGTTTGAAAGAGGTGAAACCTCAAATACAGTACCACCCCAAAAAAGGGTCAATGAAGAATATAATTCTGAAGAGATGGTGGATGTAGATGTGATGAGTGATGGAGATGGGCTGGATATGGCAGATATGGACTACATTACACAACAAATTACAGAGTTGAGGAAATCAGGTTACACTGATGTAGACATTATGAGATGCCTTGGAATTACAAAAGCTCATTTAGAAGAGTTTGGATATGTGGTAAGGTTTCATTTAGTGTTTATGTATATGATTAAGTGTTTTTTACTTTTTTTTTTTCTGTTTTAGGCTGCCAATGTTGAAGGTGGACTAGAAGGAGATGGACAGGGTAATGAAGAAGAAGGAGGACATGGACAAGGAGATGGAGTGGAAGGAGGTGGAGATGGACAAGAAGGAGAAGGAGATGGAGAAAAAGAAGATGGAGAAGGAGATGAAGGAGATGGACAAGAAGAAGATGAAGAAGGTGTTCCAGTGAATGATCCAGTACAACAAGGGCATTTTGGGAATAATATGAAACAAAGAACAAGGAGACCCTCAGAGAGGATCATTCTTCAGAAGCTGAAAAAGAAGGTGGTTGACCCTCTTGGTATAGGAATGTGTGAAGATAAGGCATTAGTTATAGATTAGTGATAGGGGTTATCATCTTTTGGTTCATATTTTGTAAAAGGTGGTACTATGTAAACTGATGCATACCATCTTTTGGTTCATATTTTGCATACCACTTTGTGGTTCATATTTTGTAAATGGTGGTACATATCCACTTATATTGGTTCATATTTTGTAAACAATTACTGGTAATTAAGCAAGGGCATTAACCAATGGTCACAATTGATCAATGTCATATTTTATTTCAAGTTTGGTTGTGCAGGTTAGCCTTGGTTATTGACAGTTTTATTATTCATATGTGGTTCATAGTTGTGGTACTTTGATTTCACCATAATTCAATACAACATAAGTAAAATGTTCATTACATTGCAAAAGAAACAACATCGTACATAGTGACTACATATCCCAATACATTATCTTAAAATACAAACCAAAACATAAACCCAAAATAAACCAGAACATTGACCACCTTGGAACAACACCACCTGCACCTTGCACTTGAGCTGGAACAACTTCTACTACTGCTTCTTCCATTTGTTCTACAACATCTCCATTCCACCCATTGTGCAATTGTAAGAGCAAGTCCTTGTACCACTGATTAGGGAGTGGAGGATCCACCCAATCAAAGAATTTGCAATCTTTACTCGAATCCTGGATAATCCAAGATTAAAGAAAGAAAAAAAAACTAAAAGATGAAGAATTTCAACATTAACAACTAACCCTATAATTTGGGCATCCAATGAATCTTCTTCCAGGATTTCTTGTCTTCCATGAAGTCCACCTTCCAACTAAGTCACTGCAATCGCAATGTGTCATTTGAGGGGGATTGAACCTTCGCATAACCTTGCTTCCAATAGATGAAGAAGACGACATTCTCGTCTTTTCCTTTGAAAAATACGAAGCTAGGGTTCATGGGGATTGACGGTATGGTGCTTAAGTAAGGTCGACAACTCCACATAAGCCTCTCATTTAATAAATCAGTGGTCCATGTAAGCATTTGGTGCCACTTCACCAAGTAAACCGGATGCACCGGCAGAAAAGGTCAATCGGGTCAATAAATGCCGGTAATTCGGGCTTTTGTGTCAAAAAAAATTAGTTTGGGACTTTCGTGTCAATTGGATGAAAATATCGGGGCTTTACTGTATATATCCCTTATTTATTTTGGAATGTTTCTTATTTGTAAGAGTTTTAGAGTTTGTATAGGAAACTTTTTAAGACTATTATATAACACCATGTCTTATTTTATTTTGTTATATTTAAGGCTTGGGAGGTCATTTTTTCTTTTCGCCATGGACCTGCTATATCTTTGGACCGGCCTAGGTTAAAACAACATACTTATAAAAGGTATTTAAAAAGTGATAAAAAGTCGTAATTGAAAACAAGATGGGTTTTATAATTTTTTAAAACCACGAATGAATTATTTTACAAATCTAAAGTTTGAGTGTGTTTGACAAAAATAGTTGGTAGCGGGTAGTGAATAGCTTGTAGCTTGTAGTTGATAGTGTTTTGTTAAACACTACATAAAACAATATTTGGATTTAGAGCGTTTTGTTTAAACTTTAAACTAAACGTTAGAAGCTTCTAGTATCAAACAAAGTTTTATGTTCAAAACAGAGCATTTTGTCAAATATCATAAGCTCTCAAACGTTTTGTGCCGAACACGTCGTTATTTTCTTTCTCTTTTTGTTGCTCTTGCTTTAGAGGTTGTCTTCCTATACTTCCCTCAACCATGTAAACTTCACCGTATTTTCCTCTCACTTCCTTAAACGACATATTCCTTAAACTTAGGAAATCACCAACCCTCATTATCTTCCACTTTTTAGATTTTTTTTAATAAATATTAAACAAATAATATATTATTTTGTAGAAGTAGTGCTCCAAACACGGCTTTGCTTCTTTCTACCCTGCTTCCTTTTGGCAATGTAGTAGTAGTGTACTACGATATGTAATGTACCATCGGAGTTTCAAATCCAAACACTACCCATCTGCAATATGTATTCCGGCAACGCATATCCATCTTTTTTATCGACTATTGATCCGAAACAGCTCCAACTCAGCATCGCCGCAGATGAGCAGGCCTTCGGAGGATCCATCGACTATCCGATGGCCACTAATATCCATGGTCAGCCTCTGTGGTACGGGAATTTCAGTAATATACGCATGGACAGTCATGCCACGATGGATATCGACAGTAGCGGTGGTCAACCACCTTCGATCGGAGATGTGAGGCAAATGGTCGTTTCTGAACCCTCCGGCAGTAATCAGATGTCCAGCGATGGACAACCACCGTCTGTCAATGACTTATGCAGACGAGAACCATCTCAAAGTGAGGCATCCTGCAACCGCTATGAAGGTCCTGATGAACATGAAGTCCAGCAGGTTATTATATCTGAATTAAATGATGGGGTATGATTTTTATCCTGAATCTGAGTGTGTTTGTTGCAAGCTTCGCATTTAATGATTAATTAAAACCATGTTGAAATTTGACTATTTGAGCAACATTTGGAGTAAATCTTAGGTTTAAACTCCAGCGTATTGAGTGTAAATTAGGAGAAATTGGGAGGCAAATTAATTTGGGTTTCTATGTTTGATAGCTGATATATAACACATCTAACTTCAAAACTAGGTCCACTAATTCAATGTTTCAGGTGTCGTTTTCAACTTCTAGAAACATGATTTTCAGACATTTTGTCTTGCATTGCTAACATGTTCCAAACTTCATAATATTAATTGATTGTTCGCAATAGTTTGATGTTGATTATTGATAGTCTTTCTTCTCCATCTTCTTTCATATACTGCGACTCTTAGGAATTAAACTTTTATTTGGTTTCATGTAGGTCTACAAGAGAGGAACAGTTGGAAGTTCCAATTATATTGATGCATACGCTAGAAGGTTTGGAGTTCCACATATGGCTTTCAACTCCATTAATTCAACCATAAACAATGGTGGTTTATTGAACAGTGGTGTTTGGGCTCCACCACAACAACCACAGCCATTTCAGCGAATGCGGACGTATATAAGGGTCAGATTAGATATTAACTATTCTAGCGTTATCTGTATATTTGTATAGTCATAATTTGAATTAATTTTATGTTATATTAACCCTAATAAATAAAAGAAAAAGAAAGCAATATATAAGTATATAACTAAGCTAAGAAAGGAAAAATGACATAAGAAGCCCTAGTTATATAGGACAAAAATTGTAGCTTTGGTGTCTCATCCAAAAAGATCTTTAAAAAAAAAATAAAAATAAAAGGCTCATTCCCGATCCGTGGTATGTGCAAAAGACGAAAATGCCCTTGTCATTGAAAATAGCTTTAGAAAGTCTGTACAGTCCAATTTTGTAGTGTTCATGTGTCTTTTTGTCTCGTATGTGGTAAGTCTTAGGAGCTAATCTATAATTTTGATTCATGTAGGTCTACAAAAGAGGAGCTGTTGGAAGATCAATTGATATTACTTCATATTCAGGGTATGATGAGCTTAAACAAGATCTTGCTCGAAGGTTTGGTATCGAGGGTCAACTGGATGATCAACAGAGAATTGGGTGGAAACTTGTGTATGTGGATCATGAGAACGACGTTCTCCTTGTTGGGCATGACCCTTGGGAGTAAGTCAATATGCTATTAATTTACAACTCATGACAAATAGGGTCACTGTGTACCTGATTTACATCTCACAAACAAACATTGTGTTTGTTTATTTGATATATCTATTTGATGGTATATAAATATTTATGACTTGGGTTTTCGTATATGCATTTCAGAGAGTTTGTAAGCTGCGTAAAGTCCATCAAAATCTTATCTCCTCAAGAAGTTCAGGAAATGAGCTTGGATGGTGATTTTGATGGGAATAATGTTGTTCCAAATCAAGCTTGCAATACTCCGGTGGTGGAACAGTTTAATGGTCGTCTAATTAACTTCTTTTAACCTCTTGGAAGTTCTTCAGCCATGCGTCCTGTGTTCCTAGTTTCTTGGATATATTAGTACAAAAATGCATCATCATCGATCATCATCTCTTTGTACAAGTAAATGCTTAGACTTGTTGCCCATGAGTTGCAGTTATTTTCAATTATAGAAGCGTTTACACATCTGTTGTTTTCTTAAAAATATTGTCTAGTGTCAGTAGCTTGTACCTCTACTTTGTGTTTTCTTTGTTTTCAAATGTTTTGTTAGCTTAACTTTCTTATTCGGTTACACGTTTAATGTTGGTAGTTAGTGAACAAGGGTGTTTTAGTAATTTGGTATGTATTATGTTAGTTGGTTTGTTGCTTAATGTTATTTAATGTATATATTAGATAGTTCTTTGTACTCTGCTTCACAATCAATGAATGAAATACTTTCAAAGTTTTCTCATTTCTTTCAACGCTTAATCTGCAACATGGTATGGATCTATGGGTTGAATGTTATTTATCACATTTCATTCATCTTCTTCACAAAATTGTCATTATGTCCAACAGTCCAAGTCTTGTTCAAATGATTCAACAAATCTCAGTGTTGTTATGTATCAGTGCGTGTTGCCGCTCAAAAAAAAAAAAAAGCAAACGAAAATCAAATCCAGCATATGTTAAATGACATTAGTAGTTTTTTTAGGAAATATTTATTCTTTAAAAGGAGAGTATTTTTTTTTTCTTAAAACATAAAATGCACATACTTTAAACTGGCATGTGTTGTTTTAGTCAAGATTATTTAGAATGTGTTTGACTTTTTTTAAATTTTAAAATTAAAAAGCCACATAATCTAATACTTATATATGTAAAATATCAAATGTAATAAATATTATAATAAATTGCAATTAATATCTTTCTCCATTTCTTATTTCAGAATTTTATTTTAAAAAATACTTATTATTTATATTTTAATATTTTATTTTATTTAATCAATCCGTGTAATACACGGGTTTTACACCTAGTTAATATGAGTTGAAAAAATTAAACAAATATTTTATTAAGATAATGGTACGTTAGTTGATTTTACATTTACCTACAAAAATTATATTTATTGACCAAACTCTTCATATAGTTTACGACCTAACTATGTTGATTCCATAAAATAAAATAAAATTAGAACCAAATTATCTACGAAATTATTTTGGAATTTTTTTAAGAGATACTTATGTATTCTTTAAAAGGAAATTTCCAAAAAAGTACTAAAATTTTAGTCAAATTAATGAAAAAATCCCGAACTAATTTTTGTTTACAGAAAAGCATAAAATACCGGCTAAAACTTCGAAAAAAACCTTTTTTGGCCGGTATTCTGTCATTTTTCGTTATTTTGCTCAAAATATTATGACTTTTCTAAAAATTACCCAATAACTAAAATATTGAGACTTTTTTGAAAATTACTATGGAATTAATGGATATTATTATTAACAAATCATTTATAAACATAAAGATATTTTTTATTATAGACAAAGTAAATGCGTTTGTTGCTAATTTCTAGGAATAGAATGGTCGATTATGTACGTCTTTATTGTTTGTTGACCACTTCAAAGTCTCTATGTACTTTATGTGTATCGTTGTAGGTATCATAGTGAGAAGTACTATGTTAAGCGTGACCAATACAAGAGTTGATAATATTTATTAATACATAATCAATAAGTGTCTACTTGCTATTAGGCATAATGCTATATGATTACGTGTTATTAGATAATATCATTACACGAACATATAGATCTTTCATTATGTTCTTTAATCTAACTACCACCTAACCTCCAAACATTACCTGCTAACAACCATAAAATTGCACACATTTATCGAGAGTTAAAAGTAAACTTTGAATGATAATTTAATTAGATAATCACCCTTCACTTGTTTCCATATAAATTATCACTCACGGTTCACTTTTCACATCTTATAAATGTTTGTTAGCCGATGGTTGTTAACATGTGAGGTATGAATGGTAGTTGGTAGTTAGGTTAAACAACATAAGAGGAACACCAACATTAGAAGAATGCTAACTAAGTACATCTCACCATCATACCCACAACACTGTATAGGAAGAACGTAGAGAGTTTGAGTGGTCACGAAGCAATAGATGAGTACTTAAACCACCAAATTTTTTCCTAGAAATTAGCAACAAATGTATTTCCTTTTCTATAATAAAAATATTTTTTATGTTTATAAATGATTGTTAATAAAAATATCCATTGATTTCATGGTAATTTTCAAAAAAGTCCAAATATTTTTGTTATTATGTAATTTTTGGAAAAGTCCTAAAATTTTGAGCAAATTAATGAAAAATGACAGAATACCGGCAAAATCTGCGAAACTGGCCGAATAGGGTTTTTTCGAAGTTTTAACCGGTATTCTGTGTTTTTCTGTAAACAAAATTTAGATAGAGACTTTTCATAAATTAGACTAAAATTTTAAAACTTTTCTGGAGATTTCCCTTCTTTAAAAGGTAAAATAATACTTGAAATATATTGAATTAACTAATTAATATGCATACGGGTGTACTGTTTTTTCAACTACAGTTTTATAATTACAAATCATTACAGGCGGTGTATCAAGATGTTGTAAAATTATAAACCGCAAAACGCATCATGAAATTAAACATTATTATGCATTGTAGAAATATTTTACCATTTGATGAACCTAAAAACACAATGTCACCCGGTTACACCTAAGACCAATGGAATTTTCTCAACATGGACCATGACATGGTTGAGCTGGCCAACTTTTGTTGCGACATTCACCGCGGCAATTGTTGAATCCGACAATCACTTGCCATACTTTTTCATTACTTCCTTCTATTTTTAAATAATAATTTAACTTTTTATCCTATATAAATATTAACCACCTCGTTCATTTTATACTTATATAAATATTAACCACCTCACTCATTATTAATACTTCATAAATTCCCTTAAAATGTCATCGTCTTACTCTTCGTAAAAAATGAGTTGTAATTAAGGTGGGGATGTTTGTGGCGATAAAAATGAAAAGAAGAATCGATATTTTAAGTAAGGCTGAAACTAAAACGCTAAAAGCTAAAAGGTTCACATTCAGTGAAGTTACCCACGAGCGTCTTATGTGAGACTACTTTGATGAGGATGCGCTTTACCAATGTAATAATTTTCAACAACGGCTTCGATCGTACAAAACTTTATTTCTATGTATAGCTAATGATTTGACGAGAGTGTGTGAATACTTCACACAACAATAAGTGAAAAAGGGTTCGGTCAACTACAAAGATGCTCGGTCACAATTCCATAATTAACATATGACACTATATCCAATTCATCGGATGAGTATTTCAAGATGTCTGAACAACTCAACGAGAATGTATTGAGTTGTTTTGTAAAAATTTCATTATGTTTTATGCTCTATAGTATTTGTCGAGGCCTACTTTCAATGACGTTCAACAATTGTATGATAATGATACAAATGTACATGACTTTCCTGGAATGCTAAGAAGTTTGGGTTGCATGCATTGGCATAGGAAAATCACCCTAATGCATACCACGGTCAATACACACTAGGTGATCATTAACACTCGATGGTAATAATTGAAGAAGTGGATTCATAAGATCTTTAGATTTAGTATGGTTTCTTTGGTGCTCCTAATTCGAAAATGCCCTCAATATTCTTAACATGTATCCAGAATTCAACAACATATGTGACGGAACTGCAACTGAGTGTCTATTTAAAGTGAATGGAACGTCGTATAGCTTTGGGTATTATCTAGTATTCCTCCCGTAAATAAATATTCAATCAATTTAAGAACAATAATATTTGTAAAACAACTTATATTGATAAATTGACTTCAATAATACAAAGAATGAATCAAAAACTAATTCTGATTCAACACACTCCAAAAATCACTCATAAAGAAATTTTTTAACAATTTCTCTTACGGAAGACTTAGAAAACATAAACCCTATAATTACTTAGATACTATGTCTAATAATGTGTAATCCTCGTAAAACAGAGAGTGTTCCATCATATAAGGATCTAGATCCTTATCCGTATTTGAATCAAACCTAATCACTAAGATATTAGGATTAGTTCTTTGCGAACACATGGTCAATCAATTGCATATTTACAATAGAAATATGGTTGATGGCACCAGCTCGGCTGACTCACTAGTCCATTGTAACACCCTTGTGTTGGATTTTGGTATATTACAACATCCTATGGTGCACATACAACCCTAATAGCTTTGGATCTATGTTTTCTCTAATTATACATGCAATATTGTTTCCAAAGCTTTAAGCCTACAACTAACATAAATTATCAAATGAACCACATAGAATTGAGTTATAGAGTTACCTCTTTATTGTAGCTAGTAGTTTTGGCCTTTAAGAACTTAATGCCCCAAATGTTACACCTCAAATGGAATCACAACACACATTTGACAAAGAATGACTTTTGAGAGAGTTTCTTGCACACAAAATCGGCTACCACTCTCCTTGGAATGCATCATCCGATTTTGGTGACTAATGGGTTCCTTTTATAGTGTGGCAAGGTCTAGGGTTACATCCATGTAAACCCTAATGCCTATGACCTTTCATATTACTTAGGCTCCATGGGTTAAACCTCCATGGACTATCCATGAACTATCATATTGGTTTAGCCCATCCTAAATAACAATTGGCCTACCCTATAAAAATCATTGATTTACCAAATCAATCCCCATATATTTAATTAGTCTCTTTTGATCACAAAATTAATTCTTGAGCAATACTAATTAAATCATATGATTTCATATGAATATATTAGAACTTATAATATATTAATAAATCATAAATATACTCTTCTCAAAAGTCAATCCTATCAAATTATCCTGGTGATATGCAACCCAAATGGACCATGCTACTCTCGGTTCAAGTACATACCAATTATAGTTATGGTCTTAGACACCTAATCCAATAGTCTCCCAGTTGGATAAGTCTAATAAATATTATTACAAGTATGACTCCAAAATCCTGACTAGCAATCGTAGTTCTTAAAAGTCGTTGTCGAACTTTGAACCTAGTCAATGACGCGTCCATTAGTTAAGGGATCATATATTCCTCCTTTCTAGATATCATATGGACATGAGACATGGATTATAATCATTCTCTCTGTTCATTTGTTGTTTCCCGATTTCTGATTTATGACGATCGACTAATTGAACAAATCAAATCAGTCCAGGCTTGGCCAAGCACTTAGGGTTGTCATTACTAAATCATCGATGGGCCGACATATATCGCTTTTATCCCTCTAAGGGTAAAATTAATGGATAAACTTAGACTCAAATGCTTTCTTGTACTTACTAATAAAATCACACACAACAGTATGTTTTATAACACCAAGTTACTGGTGTGTTTACATACGTTAATGTGCGATCGACTTGTAAACTACAACTCACAT